TCCATTTCAAGCCAGTTTGGTGTGGTGGTTAGGAGCGTGGAATCTTATCTGGGAGAACCAGGTTTGATTCCCCCACTCCTCCACATGCAGCTGCTGGAGTGACCTTGGGTCAGTCACAAGTTCTTTCAGAGCAGTTCTCAAAAGAGTTCTCTCGGCCCCACCTACCTCACCAGGTGTCTGTTGTGGGGAGGGGAAGGGACAGGAGATTGGAAGCCGCTCTGAGTGAAGGGCAAGGTATAAATCCAATCCCTCCTCCTCGTTCTTTTTTCACTTCAGCGACTGTTGGCAAGTGGATTTTGCCATTTCACACAGTAAAATCCCGTTGCAAGGTGCATTGAAAGTTATTTAGTCTGTGGGGAAGCTCCTGTAGACTTTTGTTCTATACAGGGGTTGTGTAGCTCTCCCTACAGGCCTGGTGGAGATGAGGTTAAGTGTGTGATGTAGAGAAAGGTGGCTCAGGGCTGAAACTGCCGCAGGACTTTTCTCCTGGCTGTGTCCATGCGGTGAGCAGGACCGTCTCTCTCCCTCTCTGTAGGTGGCAGGCTCTCGCAGCAGTCCAGAGTAAAAACCAGGCCTCTGATTCAAGAGAGAAACATCCTGGCACACGTTAAGCTCGGCACCACTTGTCAGGATATCTGAAAAGGGCGGAAAAGGCAGAGATTCCTTAGGGGTTCCCCTTTGGGCACAGTCTTATGGTCTCTGACCTCCACCTGTGCGGCTGGCTCGTGCCTCACCTCTCTTTGTCTCCCCCCCGCCCCAGTCTATGCCATCCGGGAGGCGGCGACCAGCAACCTCAAGAAGCTCGTGGAGAAGTTTGGCAAGGACTGGGCCCACGCCACCATCATCCCCAAGGTGCTGGCCATGTCCAACGACCCCAACTACCTGCACCGCATGACCACCCTCTTCTGCATCAACGTGAGTTGGCGGTCGGGGAGGGAGAGCTTGGGTGGCATCCTGCACTGTGCACGGGAGAGCCACTTTGGGGTAGTGCTTAGGAGCATGGACTCTAATCCGGGAGAACTGGGTTTGATTCCTGGCTTCTCCCATGTGCAGCTGCTGGAGTGATCTTGGGTCCATTACAGGTTCTTTCAGAGCTGTTCTCTCAAGGGCAGTTCTCGAGAGAGCTCTCTCAGCCCCACCTTCCTCACAGGGTGTCTGTTGTGGGGAGGGGAAGGGAAAGGAGATTGTAAGCCACTCCGAGTGAAGGGCAGGGTATAAATCCAATCCTTCTTCCTCAAGGCTACCACTACACCAGATTGGCTCTTGAAATGACTAAACTGAGGCTACTGTACTTTGGTCACGTTATGACAAGACAAGGGTCCCTGAAAAAGGCAATCATGCTAGGAAAAGTGGAAGGCAACAGCAAAAGAGGATGACCCAACCCAAGATGGGATGTGGGCCGGACGGAGCGGGTGCAGAGGAGAGCGACGAGGACGGTGGGGGTGGGGGGGCGGCCTGGAGACCAAGCCCTAGGAGGAAAGGCTGAGGGACGTGGGGATGTTTAGTCTGGAGAACCTCACAAGGGTGTCTGTTGTGGGGAGGGGAAGGGAAGGAGACTGTCAGCCGCTCTGAGACTATACAAACGAAGGGCAGGGTGTAAATCCCATCTCCTCCTCTTCTGCATCCTGGAAGGACAGCCCCATATCGTTGAAATAAAAAAGGGAAGATGGGATGCGTATTGTTTTTCTTCCAACCGCAGTCTCTAGGGAGTGTTGCGTGTCGCATTTCGGACGTCTTCCTTTCGTGAAGCTGTCACATCTCCCCGTTGTTGGGAAGAAAACCTGCCTCGCTAGACCAGCTGAGTAGAAAAGAGCGAGAGTCCAGTAGCGCCTTAAAGACTAACACAATGGGTGGCCGGGGTGTGAGCCTTTGTGAGTCACTGCTCACGTCTTCGGCGACCGCTTCCTTTTTCAGGTACCCGAAGACGCGAGCAGGGACTCACGAAGGCTAACGCC